AGTACCCTTGACTCTTGCCCACAATTGCAGCAGTGTCCTTGGCACTTGCCCACAGTTGCAGCAGTACCCTTGACACTTGCCAACAATTGCAGCAGTGTCCTTGGCACTTGCCCACAGTTGCAGCAGTACCCTTGACACTTGCCCACAGTTGCAGCAGTACCCTTGACTCTTGCCCACAATTGCAGCAGTGTCCTTGGCACTTGCCCACAGTTGCAGCAGTACCCTTGACACTTGCCCACAGTTGCAGCAGTGCCCTTTACACTTGCCCACAGTTGCATCAGTGCCCTTTACACTTGCCCACAATTGCAGCAGTGTCCTTGACTCTTGCCCACAGTTGCAGCAGTACCCTCGACTCTTGCCCACAGTTGCAACAGTTCCCTTGACATTTGCCCACAGTTGCAGCAGTACTCTTGACCACAGTTGCAGCAGTGCTCTTGACCACAGTTGCAGCAGTACCCTTGACACTTGCCCACAGTTGCAGCAGTGTCCTTGACTCTTGCCCACAGTTGCAGCAGTGCCCTTGACTCTTACCCCAGTTGCAGCAGTGCCCATTACTCTTGCCCACAGATGCAGCAGTGCCCTTGACACTTTCCCACAGTTGCAGCAGTGCCCTTAATTCTTGCCCACAGTTTCAGTAGTGCCCTTGACTCTTGCCCACAATTGCAGCAGTGGCCCTTGCACTTGCCCACAGTTGCAGCAATGCCCATTACTCTTGCCCACAGATGCAGCTGTACCCTTGACACTTTCCCACAGTTGCAGCAGTGCCCTTGATTCTTGCCCACAGTTGCAGCAGTGCCCTTGACTCTTGCCCACAATTGCAGCAGTGCCCTTTACACTTGCCCACAGTTGCAGCAGTGCCCTTTACACTTGCCCACAGTTGCAGCAGTGCCCTTGACACTTGCCCACAATTGCAGCAGTGTCCTTGACACTTTCCCACAGTTGCAGCAGTGCCCATTATTCTTGCCCAAAGTTGCAGCAGTGTCCTTGTCACTTTCCCACAGTTGCAGCAGTACCCTTGACACTTGCCCACAGTTGCAGCAGTGCTCTTGGCACTTGCCCACAGTTGAAACAGTTCCCTTGACACTTGCCCACAGTCGCAGCAATGTCCATTACTTTTGCGCACAGTTGCAGTACCCTTGACTCTTGCCCACAGTTGCAGCAGTGCCCTTGACACTTGCCCACAGTTGCAGCAGTGCCCATTACTCTTGCCCACAGTTGCAGCAGTGCCCTTTACACTTGCCCACAGTTGCAGCAATACCCTTGACACTTGCCCACAGTTGCAGCTGTACCTTTGACATTTGCCCACAGTTGCAGCAGCGCCATTGACACTTGCCCACAGTTGCAGAAGTGCCATTGACACTTGCCCACAGTTGCAGCAGTGCCCATACTTTTGCCACATTCAGCAGTACCCTGACTCTTGCCCACAGTTGCAGCAGTGCCCTTGACACTTGCCCACAGTTGTAGCAGTGCCCATTACTCTTGCCCACAGTTGCAGCAGTGCCCATTACTCTTACCCACAGTTGCAGCACTGCCCTTGACTCTTGCCCACAGTTTCAGCAGTACATTTGACTTGCCTACAGTTGCAGCAGTGCCCATTACTCTTGCCCACAGTTGCAGCAGTACCCTTGACACTTACCCACAGTTGCAACAGTGCCCTTGACCCTTGCTCACAGTTGCAGCAGTACTCTTGACACTTGCCTACAGTTGCAGCAGTACCTTTGACACTTTCCCACAGTTGCAGCAGTGCCCATTACTCTTGCCCACAGTTGCAGCACTGCCCATGACACTTGCCCACAGTTGCAGCAGTGCCCTTGACTCTTGCCCACAGTTGCAGCAGTTCTCTTGACTCCCACAGTTGCAGCGGTACCCTTGACTCTTGCCCACAGTTGCAGTAGTGCCATTGACACTTGCCCGCAGTTGCAGCAGCACCCTTGACTCTTTCCCACAGATGCAGCAGTGCCCATTACTCTTGCCCACAGTTGCAGCACTGCCCATTATACTTGCCCACAGTTGCAGCAGTGCCCTTGACTTGCCCACAGTTGCAGCAGTTCTCTTGACTCTTTCCCACAGTTGCAGCGGTACCCTTGACCCTTGCCCACAGTTGCAGCAGTGCCATTGACACTTGCCCACAGTTGCAGCAGTACTCTTGACTCTTGCCCACAGTTGCAGCAATGCCCTTGACTTGCCCACAGTTGCAGCAGTACCCTTGACACTTGCCCACAGTTGCAGCTGTACCCTTGACACTTGCCCACAGTTGCAGCAGTGCCCTTGACACTTGCCCACAGTTGCAGCAGTGCCCTTGACACTTGCCCACAGATGCATCAGTGCAATGGACACCTTCCTACAGTTGCAGCAGTGCCCATGACTTGCCCACAGTTGCAGCAGTGCCCTTGACTCTTGCCCATAGTTGCAGCAGTGCAATTGACACTTTCCCACAGTTGCAGCAGTGCCCATTACTCTTGCCAACAGATGCAGCAGTGCCCTTGACTCTTGCCCACAGTTGTAACAGTGCCCTTGACTTGCCTACAGATGCAGCAATGCCCTTGACTTGCCCACAGATGCAGCAGTGACCTTGACACTTGCCCACAGATGCAGCAGTGACCTTGTCACTTGCCCACAGATGCAGCAGTGACCTTGACACTTGCCCACAGATGCAGCAGTGACCTTGACACTTGTCCACAGATGCAGCAATGCCCTTGACTTGCCCAGAGATGCAGCAGTGACCTTGACACTTGCCCACAGCTGCAGAAGTGACCTTGACACTTGCCCACAGCTGCAGAAGTGACCTTGACACGTGCCCACAGATGCAGCAGTGCCCTTGACTTGCCCACAGATGCAGCAGTGGCCTTGACACTTGCCCACAGATGCAGCAGTGGCCTTGACACTTGCCCACAGATGCAGCAGTGACCTTGACACTTGCCCACAGATACAGCAGTGACCTTGACACTTGCCCACAGATGCAGCAGTGACCTTGACACTTGCCCACAGATGCAGCAGTGGCCTTGACACTTGCCCACAGATACAGCAGTGACCTTGACACTTGCCCACAGATGCTGCAGTGACCTTGACACTTGCCCACAGATGCAGCAGTGACCTTGACACTTGCCCACAGATGCAGCAGTGACCTTGACACTTACCCACAGATGCAGCAGTGACCTTGACACTTGCCCACTTGGATATTTTACATATACTTTAGTTAATATTTATGTTTAACATCATTGCAAATTAATTGTAACAACTGAATTGATCAGGTGGTTTATTTATGTTTGTGACGTAAATGGGTGTGTTTGTTAATTTTCTAGTAAATGTGTTTTATTTTGTATATAAAATACAGGTGTTTTTTAATCTAGTAAATGCAGGTGTTTTATAATCTTGTAAATGCAGGTGTTTTATAACCTAGTAAATGCAAGTGTCTTATAATCAATTGTAGGTGTTTTATAGTGAACGTTTATCAAGTAAATGCAGGTGTTTTATAATCTTGTAAATGCAGGTGTTTTATAACCTAGTAAATGCAAGTGCCTTATAATCAATTGTAGGTGTTTTATAGTGAACGTTTATCAAGTAAATGCAGGTGTTTTATCATGTTATCTAGTAAATCCCGGTGCTTTATCGTGTTTAGTAAATGCAGGTGTTTTTATTATCTCTAATGTTACATGAGGTTGTTTTCTTGGTGGTGGTAAAGGGAATGTTGATCCAGAGAAGAATGTCACAATATCGTGGCTACAATTCACAAATAACCCGTATTTAGGAGACGAAACTAATGACGTTGTGATCCCTCTCTGACTATTGTCAAGTCACAGTTCAGAAAGGGGGAAATAAAAGAAGACCCAAAGAGTGGTCGGTAGTAGTAATAGGATTAGCATAAGTGGGAATGAGGCAGGAGCAGTTGTAGTAATAGAGGTAGAAGCAATAGAGTAGTGTGGTGGTGGTATATACTGACAATAATCACTGCAGGAAACCAACTGGTCCACGCTGGGCAGAACTAGTGATAACTTACTACGGTGATAATGAGAGTTACTTACATCTTAAGGCAGTGGAGATTAAAGTAACGCTTTTAGCACTTGTCGTGAAGGTGGTGGAAGTCAAAAGTAAGTCAGTTCTCTGAACACCTGTCCTCAAGAGGCACGGGTAAAGTATGGACCTCTCCAAAGTGCGGCTTATTTGTGAATTGATCCAAGAAATTGGAGATACCCTTTACTTTCTCGGTTCAAACTTGAATCTCTGCCATACCTCAGCCACTGTTTGATTTCACGGTTTTAGCGTTTCTCCATGATTATAATACTAATGTTCTTGTAAACACATTGTCACAGGGGAAGGGGGAGTTATATAAAGCTCTAGGCCTTTCACTTTACATCAGAACTTCATCAGGAGCTTGATATAGAGGGAATAGAAAATCGAGGCAAAAAGATTCAGAAATCTACTAGAAGTAGAAGTCGTTTAAATCAGAACTTGAGATAGTTCACTCGCCCGCGTCTTTGCTGTTATCACTACCACCGGGGTTATCAATAAATCGTACGTGGTTAGTTGATTTCTTTATCATTAGTTTGACACGTGAGCTTTCTAGAATCTTCCCTTACACTGTACGACCTGTTCCCTGGTGCTGTACAGGGTGCCAGCCTGTCTCCTACTGTCTCTTCCAATGGGACAGCTATACTGGTGGATTTCTGAATGTCCTTTCCCTTTACATCAAGCTCCTGACGAGAGCTGATAGTGAAAGACATAAATGTTTATACAAGTCTCTCCTGTAGCAATTTGCCCATTGTTTTATCGTTTGTTTTTGCGATATTATAGCACTAATGTACATGTGTTTATGTTGAGTAGAGTTCATGTGTACACGTGTGCTTTGATGTACAACCTGGCAGGTGTGTATAGAGCACCTGCCAGGATGAAGCTGTTATAGCCCCGTGTACCGTGTCAGTAAGAGGCTGTTACAGCTGTGTTTAGGTAGGTACGGTGCCAGTAAGAGTGTGGTGACAGTGTTAATGTTTGTGTTTCAGTAGAGCTGAACCCTGCCTTCTTCCCCGGGGCACCGGACGTGTGGCCGCCCCACCCTCTGGCCTACACGGCAGAACTGCCGGGGACGGCAGCAGCGGGACTGCAGCACCACCCGGCACTCTTCCCCGCCCTGCACGCCCAAGTCCCAGTACGTTCCTATCTCTGACTAACTCCAGACAAACTACAACATCATCATCCACCATCGGCCGAGGGGGGGCCTCAACTACCGCATTCCAGCCTCCATGTTAGTTCTTAACTCCTCTGGCCACTCCAGTTAGTCTGTCTGTGTGTCGCAGCTGCCACCCACCCCACCCACTCGCCCCACCCATCCATCCAACCACTCACCCATCCACTCAGCTCCACTCACCACCCCACCTCTACTCACCACCCCCCCACCCACATCCACCGCACCCATCCACCCACCCACCCACCACCCGCACCCACGCACCACCCGAAGTCACCACCCGTACCCACCAACCCACCCACTTCCACCGGCATCCACCAACCTCCACCAGCACCCACGATCTCCAACACCTCCACCCGCACCCACCAATCCACCCATTTCCACCCGCGCCCACCAACACACCCACTTCTAACACATTTTCCCCCCACACCCACTAACAAACCCACTTCCACCCGCGCCCACCCTTTTGCTCATCCACTTTCTCGTCTCGCCCACCCACGTATTCATCCCCAAACTTACTCATTCTACCCACTTATCTACACACACACACACACACACACACACACACACACACTACACACACACACACACACACACAACACACACACACACACACATCCACACACACACACATCCACACACACACACATCCACACACACACACATCCACCACACACACCACCACATCCACACACACACACATCCACACACACACATCCACACACACACACATCCACACACACACACACACCACACACACACACATCCACACACACACATCCACACACACACACAATCCACACACACACACATCCACACACACACACACACACACACACATCCACAACACACACACATCCACACACACACATCCACACACACAACATCCACACACACACATCCACACACACCACACACACATCACACACACCACACACCACATCCACACACACACATCCACACACACCACACACACATCCAACACTCAACCACACACATCACACACACACACATCACACACACATCCACACACAACACACACATCCACACACACATCCACACACACCACACCACACCACACACACACACACACACACCACCACATCACACACACCACACACCACACACACACACAACACACACACACAATCCACACACACACACCACACACCACCACACACACACCACACACAATCACACACCACATCCACACACCACATCCACACAACACACACACACCACACACATCCACACACCACATCCACACACACACATCCACACACACACACACACACATCCAACATCCACACACACACATCCACACACATCCATACATCCACACACCACACACCATCATCCCCCCACACACCATCCACACCACACATCAACACACACACATCCACACCACACATCATCCCCCCCCACACCCATTCATCCCCCCCACACATATACACACACACTTCCCTCCCCCACACACACACACTCCCCCCCCCCACACACACACACACTTCCCCCCCCCACACACACACACACACACTTCCCCCCCCCCACACACACACACTTTCCCACCCCCACACACTTTCCCACCCCACACACTTGTCCCCCACACATCCACTCATCTCCACACACCCATTCATCTCCACTCACCCCCTTCACCCCATGATTCACACTCGTTCACCCACTCATTCATCGGGCACTGCTCCTGCTGACTGTGCTGCTGTTGCTGTCGCTGCTGCTGCTGCTGCTGCTGCTACTGCTGCTGCTGCACCATCACTGCCAACACACCATTACTCAGGAACCATACATCGTGTCTTACACAAACACACAAACACACACCATACTGGTCCCCCCCCTCCGTTCCCCCTCACTATATGATCCCTAATCACACACAAACACACTGCTATAAGTGAACACCATGCCACAATAAACACTGTGCTAGAGTGAACACCGAATACAGTGTTCAGTGATGCAGTAAACACGGTAACATTGCTGATGTAACTTCATGGTGCAGTAAATATGGGACTGTATGTAGCACAATGCTACAGTGAACGGTGCTACAATGAACACAGTACTACAGGGAACACTGCTACGGTGAAGACTGATAGTGAACACTATGCTACAGTGAAAACTGCTATAGTGAACACTGCTACAGTGAACACTTTTGTGCAGTGAACACAGTGCTGAATTCAAGTGCTTCAGTGAAGTGTTGAAAGTGTTGCAGTGATCAAAACAATGGACACAGTGTCACAGTGAAGTAGCAATGAACAGTACAACAGTAAAATATGCTAGTGAAAACACTGCTGCAGTGAATGCAATACAACTGTGAAGTCATTAAATACAGTACCATTAAATACATTAAATACAATACCATAGTGAACACACTACCACACAGACAATACACTCAGTGCTACACAGACAATACACTCAGTGCTACACAGACAATACACTCAGTGCTACACAAACACTCAGTGCTACACAAACAATACACTCAGTGCTACACAAACAGTACACTCAGTGCTACACAAACAATACACTCAGTGCTACACAGACAATACACTCAGTGCTACACAAACAGTACACTCAGTGGTACACAAACAATACACTCAGTGCTACACAAACAGTACACTCAGTGCTACACAGACAATACACTCAGTGCTACACAAACAGTACACTCAGTGCTACACAAACAATACACTCAGTGCTACACAAACAGTACACTCAGTGCTACACAAACAATACACTCAATGCTACACAGACAATACACTCAGTGCTACACAAACAGTACACTCAGTGCTACACAAACAATACACTCAGTGCTACACAAACAGTACACCACTCAGTGCTACACACAGTACACTCAGTGCTACACACACAATACACTCAGTGCTTCACGGACAATACACCCAGTGCTACACAGTACACTCAGTGCTACACAGACAATATACTCAGTGCTACACAAACAGTACACTCAGTGCTACACAGACAGTACACTCAGTGCTACACAGACAACACACCCAGTGCTACACAGTACACTCAGTGCTACACAGACAATATACTCAGTGCTACACAAACAGTACACTCAGTGCTACACAGACAGTACACTCAGTGCTACACAGACAACACACCCAGTGCTACACAGTACACTCAGTGCTGCACAAACAGTACACTCAGTGCTACACAAACAGTACACTCAGTGCTACACAAACAGTACACTCAGTGCTACACAAACAGTACACTCAGTGCTACACAGACAGTACACTCAGTGCTACACACAGTACACTCAGTGCTACACAGACAGTACACTCAGTGCTACACAAACAGTACACTCAGTGCTACACAAACAGTACACTCAGTGCTACACACAGTACACTCAGTGCTACACAAACAGTACACTCAGTGCTACACAAAGAGTACACTCAGTGCTACACAAACAATACACTCAGTGCTACACAAACAATATACTCAGTGCTACACAAACAGTACACTCAGTGCTGCACAAACAGTACACTCAGTGCTACACAAACAATATACTCAGTGCTACACAAACAGTACACTCAGTGCTGCACAAACAGTACACTCAGTGCTACACAAACAGTACACTCAGTGCTGCACAAACAGTACACTCAGTGCTACACAGACAGTACACTCAGTGCTACACTGACAATACAGTCAGTGCTACACAGACAGTACACTCAGTGCTACACAAACAGTACACTCAGTGCTACACAAACAGTACACTCAGTGCTACACAGACAGTACACTCAGTGCTACACAGACAGTACACTCAGTGCTACACAAACAGTACACTCAGTGCTACACAAACAGTACACTCAGTGCTACACACAGTACACTCAGTGCTACACAAACAGTACACTCAGTGCTACACAAACAGTACACTCAGTGCTACACAAACAGTACACTCAGTGCTACACAAACAGTACACTCAGTGCTACACAAACAGTACACCCAGTGCTACACAAACAGTACACTCAGTGCTACACAAACAGTACACTAAGTGCTACACAAACAATACACTCAGTGCTACACAAACAGTACACTCAGTGCTACACAGACAATACACTCAGTGCTACACAAACAGTACACTCAGTGCTACACAAACAGTACACTCAGTGCTACACAGACAATACACTCAGTGCTACACAAACAGTACACTCAGTGCTACACAGACAATACACTCAGTGCTACACAAACAGTACACTCAGTGCTACACAAACAGTACACTCAGTGCTACACAGACAATACACTCAGTGCTACACAAACAGTACACTGTGCTACACAAACAATACACTCAGTGCTACACAAACAGTACACTCAGTGCTACACAAACAGTACACTCAGTGCTACACAAACAATACACTCAGTGCAACACAAACAGCACACTCAGTGCTACACAGACAGTACACTCAGTGCTACACAAACAATACACTCAGTGCTACACAAACAGTACACTCAGTGCTACACAAACAGTACACTCAGTGCTACACAAACAATACACTCAGTGCTACACAGTACACTCAGTGCTACACAAACAATACACTCAGTGCTACACAAACAGTACACTCAGTGCTACACAGACAATACACTCAGTGCTACACAGACAATACACTCAGTGCTACACAAACAGTACACTCAGTGCTACACAGACACACTGTGCTACACAAACAGTACACTCAGTGCTACACAGACTATACACTCAATGCTACACAAACAGTACACTCAGTGCTACACAAACAGTACACTCAGTGCTACACAAACAATACACTCAGTGCTACACAAACAGTACACTCAGTGCTACACAAACAATACACTCAGTGCTACACAGACACACTCAGTGCTACACAAACAGTACACTCAGTGCTACACAGACACACTCAGTGCTACACAAACAATACACTCAGTGCTACACAGACAATACACTCAGTGCTACACAATACACTCAGTGC